TATTTGAGGGGCTGCCACAAAGAGGAGGGGGGGTTCAACCTATTGTCCAAAGCACCCGAAGGCAGGACAAGAAGCAATGGATGGAAATTAATCAAGGAGAAAAGGAACTAAGAAGGAACTAAGGAGAGATTTCCTGTCAGTTAGAACAATTAACCAATGGCATCTGCATCTGGAAGCTGTGGGTGCTCCAACACTGCAAGCTTTTAACAAGAGATTGTACAACCATTTGTCTGAAATAGTATAGAGTTCCCTGCCTGCACAGGGGGTTAGACTAGAAGACCTCCGAGGTCCCTTCCAAATCTGTTATTCTGTTATAGATCCCACATGTGAAGAGATAAGGTTAGATAAGGTTCAAATGGGATTGAAAGGGAGGTTGGACTTTGGCTATTGCTGCCTACATAAAGATTCCAGATTAATTCCCTGCTTGACTCCTCCCCCTGGCTCAGCCGGTCTCTCTCTGACAGCCAGTTGGAATGGAGGCATTTGTATAAGATGGTATAAAGTGCAGCGGAGGGGACGGACTCCTCTGTTTCTACCAGCAGAGGGAAGCAAACCTAAAAAAACACGATGAAATAATCTGATTTTAAAAATTCTCTTAACAATTGTCTCACTTAGCCACAGAAATTCTGTCCTCAATTGTGGTCGTAAGTCGAGGACTGCCTCTATTTCATTTTTGGCTGCCCTGTCTGATTGGAGATTGACTCTCTTTCAGGTAAAAAGAACAGACTGCATCCCGATGTTCAGCCTTCAAGAACAAAAATGGATCCCTTTTCTTCAATATGAAAAAAAAAACCTCCTTCGACTTGCAAATCTTTTATCTATCCCTTCCTGCACCCAAATCGACAGCAAATTCTCACAGCTCCCCTGATCCCACTAGGAGCTGGAAAAAACACCAATACTATCTACTGAAGAAATTAAATCAGTGCAGTATCTGCTCCTGAGATCGTTAATTTTTGAGTTACTTTAAATACCCAGGGTTCAGGATACCTCTGTGTTTTTCTACACCTGTGGGAACATCTAATTCAAGGGTGTCCAATCTTGGTATTGAAATACCTGTTGGAATGTATTTTCTACTGCAACGATTACAGAAGCATTCAGCCAGTAGAATACAAGTTTGGGTCTATGGTATATGCACTTTTGCTCTATGCTCTTTTGTTCTAAGTAGAGTTTCCTATTTCCTATTACAGTTATATAGTTGAGCAGTAAAGCACATGGTGACTGTGCTCTTTGTTGTTGTTTTTTGCATGGTGCTTTATATAAACAGAATTTCTAACACTTGGCCACTTTAAGACCTGTGGACTTTAATTCACAGAGCTCCCATAATGGCTAGGGAATTCTGGGAGTTGAAGTTCAAAGGTCTTAAAGTGGCCACCCCTAATCTAATCCTTTTTTGGGGTTAACCTGGATCTTTGTGCCAAAATGGATGGCCCAAGGCAATTAGAATTTGCCAATAGTGTTCTTTTTTGAGCTGTACTAAGAATCTAGAGTCCATGAAATCGTTCTGATGAATGTGGACGACCCTATGAGACCAGAAAGAGCATTTTGGGGGTACCTTGATTGATAAAATGCCAAATTTGAAAGGGTGGGGAGGATCCATTCCATGGCTGTCACGCTGACTTTTAAAACTCGTTTCCCCCCCTATCAGAAGCCTGGCTATCATAAATGTATTCAAGCGGTTTAGCAAGGAGCAGTTGAGAAGATCTTAAGAACTTCAGATCCTCCAGCTTTCTGCTATGCTCTCCTTAGCACTGAACATCTAAGACCAACTGTCAGTGACTTTTGAAGGAGTAGGAAGAAGGAAGGGGAGAGGTGTTTTAGTAGGAAACAGTAGGGTTCCTAGTTCCTGAACAATGTCTCTTCGCACAAACGTAGACAGTCGGCATTTCTCCGGCAAAAATATCATTTTTGAAGAAAGGTTCCTTGGATGACTCTGGATGGCCCACCGTTCTGACCCAGCTGTCCAAACACAACAAACCCTCTGAAATGAACTCAAACCTTCCTTTAATTAGGAGTGCCAGCAGATCACAGCCTAACAAGTCCAGCCGGTCAGGAGATGAATAGTTGTCTGCCGTATTTATTCATCTCCGCCCTCTGCCTTTTATCCCCAGAGCTAAAGTGGGGCCTCATTAGCAGCAGTGGTTCTTCTGTCCCAAGGACCGGCCCATAGATTTCCACTGCTCTCCTCTCCTCTGCTTTCCGTACATTCGTGCATCAGGCACTGGACCCAGCTGTTCCTCCACTTCCTCATCAGTCATCTCCAGCCCTCCACCTGAGGGCTGACGGACAGGCCAGACTCCGCCTCTGTCGCTCTCTCTCTCTCTCTGACAGCTCCATTCCCTCTTCCCCCTCGGAGCTCTCAGGTTGCCCTGATGCTGACCCTGACTCCCACGCCTCCTCCTCCCACACCGCCACCACATCCCCTTCACCTATCTCAGGTTTTGCTCTGTGACCTTTGGCTGTGAGTTCACAATGGCTTAGGGCTGTGGGCCTGGCAGTGAAGCCTCCCAGTCTTAGTGGGGAGGGGACTCTGGCGTGGGGGAAGAACATGGAACACAACCATCGAGATGGGCACCAAGATCTAAGTTCAGGATGTCCATCACCAAGCATGGCAAGAATAACAGCCGCCCGCTGCCTTGCCTGGAGGACCCTTACTACACATCACTGTTCCTGGCTTATTCTACTCTTCACCTGTAAGAAACTAGCAGTTGGGGTTGAAGTAAGGCCCACCCAGAGGCATTTGTGTATTCCTTTATTGAATTTATGTGCTGCCCATCTCATTCTGAAAATAGACGCTGCGTGACTTTTGTGCATTTTTAATGCTGAGATGGAAGACGAACCAGTGAAAAGGGGGGCCCAGGAGTTTCAACTAGGGTTTTCAGTTGGTTCTCCTGGATCAGGGCTCTCCAAACTTGGCGACTTTAAGTCATAGGGATTCTGGGAGCTGAAGTCCACAAGTCCTAAAGTTGGAGAGCCCTGATCCATGGGAACCAACAGAAAACCATAGTTGAAACTCCTGGGTGCCTTTTCAATTAAGCTATGATTGTCTTTCTGAAATGGTGGATGGTATTATGATAGATGATGATGAGGTTATCCCTTCAGTCGTGTCTGATGCTTGGCGGTTCTCTGGGCCAGGTCTCTCCACATCTTGCACTGTTTACTATGATGGTTATCTTCCTTCCTTCCTTCCTTCCTTCCTTCCTTCCTTCCTTCCTTCCTTCCTTCCTTCCTTCCTTCCTTCCTTCCTTCCTTCCTTCCTTCCTTCCTTCCTTCCTTTTTCTTTCTTTCTTTCTTTTTCAAATTGTGATTCCAATTCTGTAAAATTTCCCTCCTCCCTAAAGCTGGGGATTCCCAGAGAGTCATATATTGTAACCAGCTCAAGCTTGACTAAGCCTTCCACCCTTCCGAGGCGGGTAAAATGAGGACCCAGACTGTTGGGGGCCAGAGGCTGACCACTCAGAGAGGGCTGGTAAAGCACTGTGAAGTGGTGTATAAATCTAAGTGCTACTGCTCTTCCTTTCCCCCATCCCTTTCCTTCCTTCCTTCCTTCCTTCCTTCCTTCCTTCCTTCCTTCCTTCCT